AATAATACTTTGGTCCCATGTAACACATGTTAAGAGTCATACACAAAAAGATAAACTGTTTCTAAGTAACCTAACTGCACCCCAAAAGAAAACTGAAACATACTTAGAAAAATACAAAAATAACCAGTACCCAGAAAAATAAAATTCACAATGTCTGGCACCCAATCAAAAATTATCAGGAATGCAAAGAAGCAGGAAAATTGAATCCATGATGAGGAGAGAAAACAGTCTATTGAAATTGATACAGAGCTGACACACATGTTTGAATTAGCAGACAAGGATATAAAAAAATTTACGGTAACTACATTCCATATTTTCAGAGAATTATGTAAAAACATAAAAGAAATTTTTAAAAACCTAATCAAACTTGTAGTGATGAAAACAAAAATGTCTGATGATAAATACACTGGATGAAATTAGAAGCAGATAGGACCTTACAGAAGGAAATATAAGTGAATTTGAATACAAAACCAAAAATAAACTTCCCAAGATAAAGCATAGAGAAGAAAGAATTTAAAGAATAAAGAAAACAGCACCAGTGAGCTATGAAGCAACTTCAATCAGCCTAATATAGATGTATCTGAAAGACAGAAAGGAAATGCAAAAGAGATACTTGAAGAAATAATGGTCATTTAAAAAATGATTAAAAATGTAAACCCAAATATCCAAGAAGCTCAATTAATTCCAAGTACAAGAAATATGAAGAAAAAGACTGCACCTACCGAGGGAAATTATAATCTTTGTGAAGATTTTTAACTACAAATTAAGTGTCCTTTATATATCTTATAACAAAGACTAGAACTGTTCAAATTGTTTGATTCTTCTGGAGGGAGTTTTGGTAATTTGTTTCTATCAAAAACATTGGTCCATTTTATTTAAGTTGTTGATCTATAGGATTCTATCAAACATGAAAGGAAGAAGTAATACCAATTCTGTACAAACTCTTTCAGAAAAATTGAAGAGGAAATAATATTTCCCAATTTATTATTTGGTTTTAGTATTATTGGGATTCTAATCCAGAAAAAAAGACATAAAGAAAGATAATGATAAATGTAATATTTATAAACAAAGATGCAAAAATTTTAAACAATACTTCATCCAAGCAAATGCAACAATGCAAAACAAGAAATAATATATCATGAACAAGTGGGGTTTGTTCCATGAATGCAAGGTTGGTTTAATGTAAAAAATCAATTTATGTAGTTTACCATATGAAACTATAAAAACTAAACCACGTATCACTTCAATAGATTTAGGAAAAGCACTTGACAATATCCACGTTCATTAATTATCAAAAGTCTCAATAAACTAAGAATGGACTGGAACTTTCTTTACTTGAAAAAGGGAATCTATGAAAGATATATTGCTAACATCATCCTTAATGGTGAAAAATTAAATGTGTTCCCTTAAGTAATAGAAGATAATAAAAATGCCCACTCTACCGCTTCTGTGTATCATTATACTGGAGGCTCTACCTAGTCAGCGAAGACTGTTAAGAAAAATAAATGAAAGTTGTCCAGATTGGAAAGGAAGAAATTGTATTTGTTCACATATAATAAGGCAATCTATGAAGAAAGTCATATGGAATTTACAAAAATGCTACTAGAACTAATAAGTGAGTTTAGCAAGATTACAGTATACAAGATTATAAACAAAAATAAATGTTATTTCTATATACTAGAAACAAAAAATAAACTGAAATAAAAATATCATTTACAATAGCATCAGGAAACATGAACTACTGAAGGATAAAGCTGACAAAAGATTTACAAAACCTATACACTAAAAGCTATAAAATATTGCTGAAATTAAAGAAGACCCAAGGAAATGAAGAGAGATATTGTATTTGTTAGTAAATAAATCAATATAGTTAAGACATCAAATCTCCCCAAATTGATCGATAGATTCAATAGATTCAAACTTCCAGTAGGCCTTTTTTAAAAAATAGACAAGCTGAGTATAAAATTCATATGAAATTTCAAAGAAAAGAAAACAAAACATCTTTGGAATAGAATAAACTTTTAAAGTCGGGACTTATTTACAGCTACATAAATCATGACAGTGTGGTATTGGCATAAAAATATAAAAATAAATCAATGGAAAATAATAGGGTTTAAAAATAGATTCACACATATATAGATAACTGATTTTCTACAAAGATGCAAAGGTGATTCTGTGGAGAAGGGATACTCTTCAACATCTGGTTCAGGAACAGTTGAATATTCAAATGCAAACTCTGACTATCATCACACTTTTTATCACATGTATAAACTCAAAAATGATGACAGACCTAAATGTAAATCCTAAAACTATAGAACCTTCTGAAGAAAAAATAGGTGAAAATCTTTGTGACTTTAGATTATGCTAAGATTTCTTAGATAAGACACCAAAAACGTGATCCATTAAACAGGCCCCCAAAAGTGACAGATGGCACTTCATGAGAATTAAATATTTCTGCTCTTTGAAAGACACTGTTAAGAACATGAAAAGACAAGCCACAGACTGGGAGAAAATATTTGCAAATCATATATCCAAAAAAGAATTTGTATCCAGAATCTATAAAGAACACATAAAACTCAGTTATAAGAAAACAAACAACCTAATTTTAAAAATCAGGAAAGATCTGAACACACACTTCATCAAAGATATCTGTATGGCCAATAAGAACACAAAAAGATGCTCAATATAATTAGTCATTAAGGAAATGCAAATTAAAACCACATCACTACACGCCTATTAGAATGTATAACATTAAATAGTCTGATCATACTCAGGATTGGTGAGGATGTGGAGGAACTGGAATAGCTGATGGAAATGCAAAATGATGGAACCATTTTAGATGATGGTCTGGCAGTTCCTTAAAAAGTTAAATATACACCTACCAAGTTATTTCTACTACTCCATAGAAACTAAAGCATATATTCATACAGAGACTTTTTTATTCCCAATTTACTCATAGTATCAACCATTATTTGTATCAACCATTATTTTTTAACTAATAATAAATGCAGTAAATGATATTATTTTTGTATATTCTTAGCAATCAGTAACTTGAGGTCTGAGCTACTTTTAAACACACTAAATTTCTCCTGCCTCACACAGTACTTAGAATACAGCAGATGTGTTACTGTCTTCTTTATGCCAGTTAAGGGCATAATGTAGATATCTTGTCCTATTTGAGACTTTAAAAAAAAAGAAAAAAAAAAAGCAAATCCTTAGCCCCAGAGAACACAAGAACACTCTGAAGTTTGAGAAGCACAGCTCTCAGAGAAAAGCTTTATAGTATGCCCCAGCTATTTGGAAATTATCACAAGGTTCATGCTAGTTATTTAATATCCAATAACCAAGCACATACAGAGAGAGGCCATTTGGATTTGATTGTGGAAATAAATACAGCAGTACCCCCTTATCCACTGTGGCCTTTTTTTTTTTTTCTTGAGACAGAGTCTTGCTTTGCCACCAGGCGCCAGGCTGGAGTGCAGTGGCGCGATCTTGGCTCACTGCAACCTCTGCCTCCCAGGTTCAAGCAATTCTCCTGCCTCAGCTTCCCAAGTAGCTGGGACTACAGGCGCGTGCCATCACACCCAGCTAATTTTTGTATTTTTAAGTGGAGATGGGGTTTCACCATGTTGGCCAGGATGGTCTCAATCTCTTGACCTTGTGATCCGCCAGCCTCAGCCTCCCAAAGTGCTGGAATTACAGGCATGAGCCGCTGTGGCCCTTTTCATAGTTTTAGTACCTGTGGCCAACTAGAGTCTGAAAACAGTACAGGGAAAATTCCAGAAATAAACGGTTCATAAGATTTCAATCACATATGTCATTCTGTTTAACATGATGAAATCTCACATTGTTCCACTTTGTCCCCTCAGGATGTGAATCATCCCTTTGCTCAGCATATCCACACCTACCCACTCATTAGTCACTTAGTAGCCATCTCGGTCAGCAGATGGAAAAAAAAACAGTATATATAATTGGCCCTCCACATCCACAGGTTCTACATCCATGGACTCAACCAACAGCGGATTCAAACTGTATTTTTTTAAATAGAACAATAAAAAATACAGTATGACAACTATTTATATAGCATTTACCTTGTATTTGGTATTACAAGTAATTTAGAGAGGATTTAAAGTATATGGGAGGATAAGCATAGGCTATATACAAATACTACATCACTTTACGTAAGAAACTTGAGCATCTGTGGGTTTTGTTATCCACAGGGGTCCTGAAACCAATGCCCTGCAGATACTGAAGTATGACTGTGTAGGGTTTGGTACCATCGCTGGCTTCAGACAACCATTGGAGGTCTTGGACTATCCTCCAGAGATTAGAGGGGACTACTGTATCTCTAAACTAGAAGCAACTGACTTTGGCCTTCCTATTATTCTTGATAATGTTATTTTATTCATTAAGACTTTCTTCAGTTGCTAATGACAGAAATAAACTCTAACTGGCTTGTGGAAAAAGAAAATTCAGCTCTGGAGCATACATGAGCAATTCACACAAGTGAAATAAGAGATACAAGAATCAGAGCCTCAGGACCTTTAGCCAGAGACTCAAAACCACAAGGTTTCTTCTTTCTCTGTCTGACAACTGTCTCCACTTGGCTTCACTCTGCAAGCACATTCTCTTCACACTTCTGCTAACAGCCCCAGGTTCCTATCCTCCTGTCTTGGGAAACTTAGAGAATGTGTTTAGTTCCAGGGAAGGATTATGAGTGCTTTTTCTTAGGTCATGTACCCATCCTAGATCCATTCACTGTAACTAATGAAATGAGATACTATAGGTAGACCTGAGCTATCCACCTTTCCACCCTTTAGCCAGGGAACAATATTTGTAACAGGAAAGGAGGAACAGAAAGGTTATTATTCCAAGAAAAATAATAATTCTCACAGTTTGCTGTGGGTGTGATGTGTTGTTGGATGATGGGTAAGAGAGTTCAAATTGAGAGGGATTTGTGAAATTGTTGAAATGAAGGAAGCACTTTTACTTACATAAACCTTTATCAAAATGTTCTTCTTTAAGCCGGGCTGGGGACATTGCACTGCTCTCTTCCTGGATACCACCTCCATGTTGAGGACGATCAAATTTCCCAAGATTCTGTGAGCCAGGTGAGTCACTAAGTCATCCTGAAACCTCAATAATCCAAACCTATTAAGGAACAAGATGAAGTATTTTTGTTAGTGATGCCTGACAACAGTGGTTATCAGGATGATTCCAGAAAGAAATATATGTTGAAGCCTATGCTCAACCTCCCATATACTTTAAATCCTCTCTAGAGGATTTAAAGATTGTAACAAGCTCTACAGAACTGACACACAGGTTACAAGAAGAGCACTAAGGTAACAAGTATAATAGGGGCACCATTCCCTTTAATTTGTCACACTGATTTTATATCTGCTGGAAAAAGTATAAATGTAAATCCAGGGAAAAGTCTTATTTTTATTTGTTCTCATTTCCTGAAAAAATCTGTTTCCCCATCACATTAAAAGATGGCAAAAAATCTACAGAAAGTATAAATTTCTTCACAAAATATTAAGATAGTTCTGCTTTCCAAATTTCTTTTTGCAAAGATAAAAATCGGACCAAACTGATTGAAGATCATTGCTGAGAACATTAATACATCTATAGGTGCATCACTGTAATTTGTATCTGAAAAATGGGCAGTTGATTATGTTTATTTATAAGAAGAAACAACTAGGAAATTCTGTCTTGCATTTCATTGGAGACCCATTCTCTGCTTTGAAGAAATACCTTAGCTATACTGTAGAGCTCCTATATTGTCTATTACTCTGCTTCTTGGTTTCTTGGATAGAATCTATAGCTCACGCTACATTATTACATTCTTAACTGTGCTATAAGCATCAGTTTGTCAGTTGAGATAGTTTTCCAGCCTCTAGAAACATGTTCAAAGTAAAAACAGGCTGGGGGATTATGTGTTATGGGTTTACCCTTACCTGAATGGGTCTCCCAGGAATGGATTATTTTGGTGCTTAGCATTCCTCTTTGGAGTTTACTTTCACAGGCTTCTCAATCTGGTTCCCTTTATTCTCTCAGTAACCCAGAGTTTTCAAAGGTTTCCGTTCATATCTTTCAAGTTTGTTAGTTTCTAAGAAAGTTTAATGCCTACTCACCACCTGCATCTTTTCCCTCTGAGTCTTTGCACCAGGAGGCAGATGCAGTGTTAAATAACTACTCCATTTATCAAACAATGATCCATCCTTGGGACTCTCCAGTGCTCTAAATCACAGGCTACACTGAGCAACATGTAAATGGCCACATTTTTCTTCATTAGTCAATATTAATAAAAGGAATGTCTCATTTTAGAAAAAGTATTCAAGTCTAAAAGCCTCAAGAATCAGAAGTCATGAATAAAAACTAATTCTAGAAAGACTGAAAAGGTAAATAACCCTTAGACATTGATTTGTTTCTTTTTTCTTTTTTTTTTTGACAGAGTTGTGCTCCGTCACCAGGCCGGAGTGCAGTGGTGCAATCTCGGCTCACTGCAACCTCCGCCTCCTGGGTTCAAGCAATTCTCCTGCCTCAGCCTCCCAAGTAGCTGGGACTACAGGTGTGTGCCACCATGCCCAGCTAATTTTTGTATTTTTAGTAGAGACGGAGTTTCACCATGTTGGCCAGGATGGTCTTGATCTCTTGACTTCCTGATCTGCCGGCCTCAGCCTCCCAAAGCGTTGAGATCACAGGTGTGAGCCACTCTGCCAGGCCTAGACATTGATTTTTAAAAATTTCCAATTTCCATGAAATAGCCCCCAAATTCTTAAAAATTCCTTTAAAGGAAGTCAAGCTCAAATGAACTATTTCCAAACTTCTTTCTCATCCCTTTTCAGGAAAAAAGTAGTTTTCCCATAATGAATAAAACTCCCTTCAGAGTATTTCCCCCTTCCTTTACTGAATTACATGTGCATTCATAGGTTTTCTCAAAATAAAAAGAATTGTACATGAATCATGATTGTACAACTTAAATATTCTCAAAGTAAATGCATCCATGTAAATGGGGAAACAGATAAAAAATGAGAACTCATCACAACTCCCAGAAGCTCCCTTGCATGTCTTTCTAGTTATTATACTATACCCCAGCTCCCAACAAAGGGTAACAAAAATTCTGATTTATAATACCAAAGATAATTTCAGCTTATTTTTGAAATTTATACTACTGTTCAACATATACCTTTTTTGTGACTTGCCTCTTTCACTCAACATTTCATTGCGTGAAATGCATCTACGTTGATGCATGCAACTGTAGTTTGATCGTCATTACTATTTAGTACTTCATTTTAGTACTTCATTAGTACAGCAAATTTAGAAAACTGATATTATGTATTAAAGATAAACATATGTATTCCCTATGACCTAGCAATTCTTCTCTTATATATCAACAGATGTAAAACTAAGTATGTATTTGTTAATATGTTTTTAAAAAGTATATCTCTAGTCAATATATACCATTTTGTATCTTGCTTCTTTTACTCAACATTCATTGAGTGAGATTTATCCATGGTGATTCATCTAACTGCAGTTTGATTATAGTCACTGTTATTTAGTACTCCATTATACACATGAAGGACTATTTATTTATTCACTCTGTTATTATGAACATTTGGCTTATTTTATGTTAGACTGCTAGCGCTGTCACAAAAAAGGATTCATGTGAACTCAGTGGCAGTTCTGAAACTGAAATGTTTGTTCAGAGTTGTACAAGTTGGGGCCAAAGGCAGGGCTTTTATAACCTCCATTTATTAGACAAAAGCTTCCCTGGAAAGGTGGTGTGACATCAGTAAAGGAATTCCAAGAGAAGGCTGACAGATAAATGCTTTTATGTAGCAGCACACCCAGCAGCTAGAGAAATAATTATCCTTTCCACCTCAAAGTGAGGTTGAAAGTGAAGGCTGGGCCATGTAGCACAGTACACACTAAAAATCCTTTCCATACACACAAAGATTTCCAAGAAAATTCTTAAGTCAACATTTGCAAAATTATGAGGTCACATGTCTCCATCATATTATGGTGAAAAAAACGTATCAAAGGGACAACTAGAAACCTTTATAGAAAAAGTTTATAATTGTAACCCAAATGATAGTAGGCATAAATAAAGTCATCAACATTTAAAAAACAAATTTTTGGCTGGGCACTGTGGCTTATTCCTATAATCCTAGCACTTTGGGAGGTTAAGGAGGCTGGATGACCTAAGGTAAGGAGTTTGAGACCAGCCTGGCCAACATAGGGAAACCCCGTCTCTACTAAAAATACAAAATTAGCTGGGCATGGTAGCAGGTGCCTGTAACCTCAGCTACTCTGGAGACTGAGACAGGAGAATCACTTGAACATGGGACTCAGAGGTTGCAGTGAGCCGAGATCACACCATTGCACTCCAACCTGGGCAACATGAGCAAAACTCTGTCTCAAAAAAAAAACAAAAAACTTAATTTTTAAAGAACTTTTTTTTTTCCTGCTCCTGGGTACTTTAAACCTCATAATTTTTCCCAGTTATTTCTGCAAGATCCCGAGAGAGGTTTTTCTGTGTGGGAGAAATACGTAGGTTCATATATCTCTTTGACAGTCTCTTTGTCAAGGCATTCCGCTTTTGAGTGCTCTGACAGTGCCCTGTCCTACCAGGCAAAGCAATCTGTGCTGATGAACATTTTGTCACTCAGGCTGCTAGAGCTACGTTGTAATATGAAGCACAGAGAGAGTTCTTTCCTATTCTACATTGCACTTTGTCACTGAGCCTCATAGCATCTCTGCTTGTGTGCAGAGTCCCCAAAAGTCTTTCTGGGAAATAGATCCTACAGCTTTGGTCTATAGTATCTCTCTACAGAAAGGCTAAAAACAAATTGATTAGACCAGATGGAGAAGAAGACATCATGCCATTTTCTTGGCCATTGTTGTTCACCCTGATTTTTGCTCTCACTCATGATGCCTCTCTCTGCCTCCTACACCAAAGCCCATACATATGGACCCTCCATATTCATGAGTTCTGCATCCTGGGATTCAAATAACCACACATAAAATATATTGAGAAAAAACAATTTTAAAACTATAATAATAAAAATAATACAAATTTTAAAATATAGTATGAGAACTATTTACATAGCACTTACCTTTTATTAGGTATTATAAGTAATCTAGAAATGATTTAAAGTATACAAGAGGATGTGCATATGTTATATGTAAATACCATTCCATTTTATATAAGAGACTTGAGCATCTACGATTTTGGTGTCTATAAGGAGTCCTAGAACCAATTCCCCACAAATACTGAGGGATGACTATACTGATATCAATTCATGCAAACAGATACTTGCAGAGATCACAGGTACTTCACCTCTGAAAGCCACTAGACTATGAATCTCAGTTTGGACTCACCAAGGAACCCTGCCACACTATTAGCAGAATCTTTCAAAATGCTTATGGTTAACACATTTGAGACATATACTTTTTCAAATACTGCTATTTTAAAAATTTTATTTGTATAAATATGTAGGGTACAAGTATAATTTTTTTTACATGGATATATATTGTGTAGTGGTGAAGTCAGAGCTTTTGTGTGTCTATCACCTGGTTAATGTACACTGTACTCATTAAGTAATTTCTCATCATCCAACCTGCTTCCATTCCCCACCCTTCCAGGTCTGCAGTATCTATCATTCTACTCGATACCCATGTGTACACATAATTTAAATCCCACTTACAAAATTGGTAAAAGCATGGAATCATAAAAATCATACTTATACACTGTTATAGGCAGAATTGTGCCCTACCTCCTCCCACCCCAAAATTCACATGTTGAAGTCCCCATCCCCAGTACCTCAGAATATGACTATTTAGAGACAAGGTCTTTAAAAGGTATTATGTTAAAAGAAGGTCATGAGGGTGGGTCCTAAATCAATGTAACTAGTGTTCTTATAAGATACTAGAATACAGACACACATAGAAGGAAGAGGACATGGAGACACAGGGAGGAGAAGATAAGCCATTTACAAACTAAAGAGAGAGGCTTCAGAAAAAGCAAACCTTCCTGACACCTTGAATCTTGAACTTCTAGCCTCCAGAATAGTGAGAAAATAAACTTCTGTTATTCAAGCTCCCCAGTCTGTGGTACTTTTGTATAACAGTACTAGCAAACTAATCCA